AGAGGTTAAACGTTCAGGCACGAGAAGGATAGGTTGTGGGTTTGAATCGTGGGTGTGCACTGCTGAGAAGTCCCATACTAGGACGAAACGGCCATCCAGTTCGTCCAGGTTTTCCATGTTAGTCTATCTTCAATTGACTCATGAATTCAACTATAAAACTAATAAATTTTTTTCTAATATATTATAGGTGTCTAATCTAAAAAACTAATTATTAAAACTTTTGTGATTTTTATTCGATCTCATCTATTGCTGATAAACACATTAATCAAAAAATTAAACATAATCACTGGTCAACATCATTTTCTCACTACTCTTTACAAATTGATAGAAAGGAGTTCGTTGTAATAAAATTCATGAATTATTAATTGAAATCCTTTTTTTGGTTCGTAAATGAATAGAGTAATCTATATAATAAAAAGTAATATTATACGTACTCATAGCACTGATAGTAATTAATAGTTTTTTCTTTTTTTTGTTTTAATTTAATAGTTAATGTATTTGTCATTATAAATTATCTAAATTACTGTAATTCATTAATTTGATTACTTGGTTATTAGTTCATTGATTATGAAATAATATTTATTATGTTTAAAGTAGCTATATTAGTAGGTAATGTCATTAAAATTAAATGCGACTGAAAGTTTAATATAAGTAGTTTAAATTTCATTCCTGAATTAGTTTATATTTTTCTCAATACTAATCAATGATATCTATTCTCAAGTCAATAGAATGGAATTCTATCGTTATTATTATTATTATTATTATTATTATTATTATTATTATTATTTCAGACAATTATTCAATCTTCCCGGGTTATGTATGATAAAATCTGATATAATAATACATATTCATATCATTAGATACAGAAGAAATGCTCAGCATTCTAAGTAATAATAAATTCTAGTGTATTACAATAATTTATCGGTCAGTCTCTATATAGAATTAAACTAGTAGATTTCAAATGAGTATTCCTGTTTGAATTCGTTTAGTTTACCAATTACTTTTTATTGCATTTAAAAAATAACAACTTTGAAGATTGTCAAATGTTTAAGAAGTATGTCGAAAAACATTGCTCATTTACTATTTATTCGAAAGCACTTATCAGATTGAGGAAACTATTAACCATCCCCATGAATTTAAGACAAAGGTTATTCATTAATTTTTCATCAACAGTGATACAACAGAATTATTTCTATTAAGACTGATGTTCTATAAAGTAAGAATCAATACAAAATATCCCAATGACGTAGTGTGAAAATATGACCCCTATCCTCATTAAACAACTAATAAGTAAAATATGACAACTTAGTTAATTCGATAAGCACCTACAACTGAAGCATGAAGTGTGTCGTAGTATCAAATTATTCGCCCTAAATGGTTTGTTTTTTGGTCATTATTCAATAAATTTAAATATACATTGAATACTGAAACTATAACGTGACTTAACTCGATTTGAAATGGTTTGGATAGTGCAATGGCGTTTGAAGCGTATTGTACTGGGTCCGAGTCCGAGAGTGAATATCACCTCTGGGATACAGGTACATTTACCTGACAAGTTTAAAGTAGGACGAAACTCTCATCCTGGATTCCACTGCTAGCCACATTGCATCTATTCTATGTCAATACAATGATTGCTTGTAACATCGATGAGTTCACAGGAATCCAGGAGAATTGATTTTAAGCTAACTGTGGATAATTGTTGTAAATAGTGCTAAGGGAAGAACTATAGGTACTTTTTGTGATGTTCAATGATTTGATGCGACCAAGAGGGAAACTTTGAACTAGGGTTTCATTCTAATTGACACTTATCAGCAAGATCTATCTGTAATTTTGAAGGAATCGATACCTTCCAGTGTGAATCAACTGGTGTCACTAACATAGCTAAATATAAGAAACCTAAATGCATTTCACTCAATACAATGAATAAAAGTGATACAAGTTTACTAACTTCTAATATTTTATAAACTCTATCTCATACATATATTTTTATTTTGTCGTCTCAAACTATATACTCAATATTTGGTTTTTCCCTCATCATTGCTTGTACAATTCATTCAACTAGTTCCCTGTTCATCTTGATGATTTCTTGTCGTTTCTGTGTAACATAGCAACCTAAGTTAACTCACATCTGCGTCAAGCTCCTATGTTGTTCAGAACTGATTGGCTCAACTCTTCGGCATTATTTATTTTCATTTTTCCAATAAACAAGAAAATAAAAGTTTCTGCCATAATGATTTTTTCACTACACAACAATTATTTGAACACTCCAATAAATAAGAATATGATTTTGAAGGTGGAGGTAATGGAAGTATTCAGTATTCAAAAAAAGTTTTAATTTTGAAACTGTTTCGCTTCACTGCATGTTAAAAGTTGTATAAATATAATATTTATGTTTCTATAGTTCCACATTATTCAATTCATACCTGATTTAATTTCAATGCACTAATTGTGATTAATTATTGAGATTCAAATATTTGAAACAAAATTAATGGTTAATTCTGATTGTTGACATTAATATTATGTTTAGTTTCGCTGGACAAAATATTACAGTTCTTTAGACTAATTAGTTTATTAAAAATGTAATGACAACCGTTGTATGAAACGTTTTCAAAATTAGATCATCATTCAACTATAATTGTGTACTGACACAAGTTTCAATATTTTTCGTGAGCAAACAGCAAAGAGGAAAATAGTTATGACATGATTAGCAAATCAATCTGAATAACTGTTATTTTCTCCACCGTCTAGTACTTTTCGAACATTATGCTTCATTCACGTCTTCCCGAATCAAGACAAGAACTGAAGAAGTATATACATATAAATATATTTCAATATAACCAAAATAAAAAGATACAGCACTAAAAACATTGAAGTTTATTTCGAATTTGCATGAGAGTCCTCTAACATTTTGACTTGTCCTCTACCACTGATTGGTTGAAAAATGGGCCAATCAGCGTACTTCGCTGTGAATTAAACCTTCAGTAGTCAAGGCTCTATCTTGTTAAGGGTAAAGTTATGTCAAAGATAGTAAAAGAAAAAACTAATTATGGATCACTGACTAGTCCTGAGCTAAGATGAAACAGCTGGTTTAGTGGTTGGTGTTAGTCTGTGTTGAATATTATACTAAGAGTATATTAAAAATGATAGGATCAAACTTCACCATTCTGTTCTTCCTCAATTTTTACATAATCATTTATTTATCTTTTATTGATCATCTCATTGAGCACACATTTTTGTTCTGTTTGCTTTTTCTCAAACACTTGAATAAAAATAATGATTCCACAATACATTTCTTGGTGAAAACATAACACTCTTCTGTATGCTTTAATGATTAAAATATCCTCTTGATCGTATTTCCACAATTTCTTATTTCATTTGACAATTGAAATGACTAAGATGATCGAATTAATAAATTTGATCACTCAACAGGATTAAATGAATTTTAGTGAAAAAAGAATCACTTCCTATTTAAGTGAGCAATATGAAAATATAATAAGTAATATAAACTATTAATTATATATAAAAATTTCAACTCAAATCATTAGACTATAACTGACTTGTCAATCAATAAGTTACTAACTATGGTTAAATATTAATACAAATCAAATGAACATTTTATTTCCATCCGGTAATGACAAATATCATATTTCTAACCGGTTCCAAATTCAATCTTTTATTATTTGTGTAAAAAAGTTATTCGACAGATGATATTAGTTATTAATGCCTATTAATAGTGAATTTAACAAGTTTATACATGTTTCTTATAATAGAATAGACTCGATAATGATACGATCTTGTTGTATATACAAGGTAAAATGTTAGTAAACTAGATGAATACTTTCATTAGTTATATTGAAATGTCTTTTTCTTCTTCTGATTAATGCCCAAAACTTCCAATTCATATTAAAACATACGAACCTGGTAAAGATTGATTTTTATGAAAATATTATTATTATTTTTTCACAGTTGAATTATTATTAATTGATTAGAGAATTAAAACCAACTATTCTACTTAATCAGAAAGGGGTTTTGTGAATATTATAATTTAATAGTTGAATTCATGAGTTAATTAAATCTAGACCACCATGGAAAACCTGGAAGCACTGGACGACCGTTTCGTCATAGTACGGGATACCTCAGCAGTGAGCATCCACGATCCCGCTCGAAGGGTTCGAACCCAGGACCTACCGGTCTCACACGCAAACGCTTAACTTCTAGATCACTGAGTTCCCCGAGATCCAGCGGTGTTAATTTCTAACTTCAAACAATCATGATCGATTACTACTACTACTACTACTGCTACAATCATAAGGTAAACCATAGAAAAGTGGTCAATAAGTATTTTAAAATATAGGTTAATGAATTAAATCTTTTAAAAGTTCTAACTTCCATACACTTTTGATAAGAACTGGTCATTTTACTTCAGAAATGTCACTGTTCTTATTGAATATTTGGAGTTATTTATTTTCACTAACTTTTTAAAGTAAAACTTCAAAAATGTGTCAACCAATATTATGAATTACTGTTTATGTATACATATTAAATAATGCTTTTTTGAATTAACTATTTTTCAAGTTACATAGATGTACCTTACTGAAAGAAAACTTCTATTTGGGAACTCTATATAAATATACCACAGAAAAATAATTTGCACTACATTGTCATGGTAACTACCTTAGTTATATAATACATCATTTGTCGATCTAGAAACATTCAGATCCAATTGTATTTATTACTGTGTTCTTTTTTGTAAATAAATTGAGATGAAAACCAATTAATTAAGACATGATTGTTTGAATTGATTTAATAAACCAAACAATTAATCTAATTTTATATTTCGAGTTGATAAAACTGATGTTCCTTTATTATTTTATCGGGTACGCAGTTATATTTCAAAACATATTTATCAGTTGATAAAAGATTTCAACATTTACTTAAACAAAATTTTTTTTGTCTATATTACTTATTTTCTGTTTATTCATCAATTAAAAAAAATCCAGGTTTGTGCACCTCGTCTTTCATGGTCATCAGCAGCATCTGTTTATTTACCTGGTGGTTGCTTTGAATTTAATGAACGTTTAGAAGAGCCTCAATTAAATCCTGCACCAAGTGCAATTTGTTTAAATGTTAAAGATTCTGATAAATCAATTGATCTGAGATATTGTACATTTGGTGCATCAGTTAATCAACATCCTAATAGGCCAAAACAATTATTTATGGGTGGTCCACATTATTATTTTGAGAAAGGTGAGTAAAATATTGAATTGATTAATGAAATTTAATATCATTGTGTCTATTAGTTTGTCCTCTACGCAATCGATATTCTGTGGGTACAATAAAATAAAATAAGTTCCTTGTGGTAATAAAACAAAATTGACACATGGTTATTAGTATTTAACAAAATCTACTCATGCAGTCGATCCCCAAATAGCAATCGAACAGTACCTAATAACAATGTACATATTGAATATTTAAAGCTATTATGTATTTGCAGTTAATTCTATCAGAATAGTATATGACAATAAGTTGTTTATCAGTTGAAAAATGAATAATTAAAGTTGAAAATAAAAAAGTCACATAATGAAGAACGAATATTAAGTCCTACCTAGTTGTTATGGATAAACACTGTTAAGGATTCTTGTGATAGGTGTTCAGTCGTTCATAGGCTTCAATGGTACCTCAGTTGACTTCAAATCGTAATGAACATCGTCTATAAAAAAAATCAGTTTCGTTGAGTTATAGAATTATTATTTTCTCTTCTGTATACTAGTCTTCATTCAGAATGTAATACTATTTAAAGCAGTTTATTTGATTAGTATAGTGAATAAACATGATCATTCACTTTGGATAATTTTTGCTATTAAAAGATCATACTCAATTTTCCATATCCTCTTTGTTACTCCATAAGCTTTTATCCGTCTCTCATTATTCGTTAACAGAAATTTGTGAACTTACTAAAAGCAACGTGCAAGGTAATAATTAGTAATGGAATTCACTTAATTCAATGCCAGACATTTGATTATTCTTAAGAATTATCAACATAAAATAAACAATATACATTATTCAACTTGTGAAGATTCAAGAACGTACGTATAAAGACGTTTGCAAGTAGTGGTTCGTTGCAATTCATATTTATCCGTAACGTTTTCTAGCCAGTTTCTCTCCCATGATATCGCTTTTCATCTTAAAGTATATTTGATATCTGAATTCGGTAGAGTAGTCTCTAATCCTTTCTTCCAAGGAGAGATAAAAAGAAATACACTAACCACTGTGATGGATCTCTTTAAATTCCTCGATTATAAGATTCTCAAAAAATTCCAAATATTTCATAAAATCGCCTAAATACACATAGTTACAATAATGTAAAATTACAAATATGAGCTGAAATTATTTTCTTCAAAGTTCACCGCCATAAAAAAAATAGGTTTTAGCTAGGTATCATTTAGACTAACCAATCTCGACATGATATGATATATTACATTGAAGTAATATAAATAACTAAACTGTCCTACTTCGGTCATTTTGAACAGATGTGTAACACCATGCATCAAAGTTGAGAATCTAAATCTATACTTCGGGTATATATAATTCAATAATTCAGTGGTCCAGCAGGTTAAGCGTTAGCGCGCGAGACCGAAGGCCCTGAGTTCGAATCCCGCGAGCGGGATTATGGATGCGCACTGGTCAGGAGTCCCGCAATAGGACGAAACGGCCGTTCAGTGCTTCCAGGTTTTCCATGGTGGTCTAGCTTCAAATGACTCATGATAGAACCAATTGTTTCTGAATTTAAACAGAAAATTATCATGGTTATTATCAAAGTAATACTTTAGTAATATTGTGCTTTTTGGCGCGTATACATGATACCTTTCTTTGTTGCTTAAAATATACAAACCTAACTAATTTGATGCAATCATTTAGTCTAGATGATCTTTTTTTTCTACAACATTATTTAGTTGTTTATGTTCTTTCTGTATTAAATACTACTTTCCCATATCTTTCTCTTTCTCTTCCTCACTTGTTTACTGAATAATATTAGTAATGATAAAAAATGTCTACTTTTTTTCTTGTGTCAATATCACATTATTTCCCTGTAGATCTATATATCCTTCAGATTTCTTCCATATTTGTCATGTTACATATTCTTGTCAAAGATCACTTACTACCAATATATATATATATATGCATAATTGTACCATGTAATAAGAAGCTTTTCACTGAACAGAATAAAATTTTCTTACTATTAGTGCTTCTCTGTCCCTGGTTATCATTCTTGATTCTTATTCCTTTTAGCATAAGCATTTGATTTCAATGCTATTAGGTTTGAGTTCTATCTTAGCAATATCTTGAATACACAGAATAATAAAACTATTTTGATCGAATTTCGTCACCATACTCTCGTGAGTATATATTTTTTTAAATGTTTTTGACGTCATACTTTAAAAATAGTATATGTGCTAAATGTAAAGTTACTTCTGTATTGAGTGATAAATTACAGTAAAATAAAGTATGTTAGATAAGTGCTCTATATCAATATTTATTCAGTAACAACCATACTAGTTTTAAACAACATGACGTGAAATAAATAACTACTTTATACACCAATGGAGACTGATTTTTATTATCTGACTACTCAGTTAAAGTATAAAATAAAAACTTGAAAGCCATTAGTCGTCATATCATTGTTCTTGTCATTTTTCGTTGTTTTTTTCAAATTGTAAACGGTATGTAGCTAATAAAAATCATGAAATAGAGAGTACGATCAATAACCACATGTTTATTTTCTCGTAAGTTTAAACACTTATGGAAACATTCCTCTTGAAGCTCGGTACTTTTTGGTATTGTTGATGTCAATGTTTCCTTTGTAAATTTGAATGAAAACTTTTTTGGACAGAAATCTCTTTAACATATAATTGAAAGTGTCTTGTGTATATTTTCGATATGCCTAAAATGTACGTGTCTTTTTAATTACAGGCGTTGGGGCTTCAGTGAATACAAACACCTTTGAGCGAGTAATAACCTCAGTTGAAGATATTCCTTCAAATACACTTCTTGGTAAGATGTGAATTGTAATATACCTACTTACTTAATTACGCCTGTTACTCCCAGTGGAGCATAGGCCGCCAACCAGCATTCTCCAACCCACTTGAATTATATGTATTGATAAATTTATATTCAGTATTAATGATGGCATACTATAAACTCCATATTAAAAATAAAGAAGATTCTATACTTAATTTGACTACCATTCTTTATACAGTAAATAATATTAAGTATAGAAGAAAGGATTCTTTAATTTAAAATGGTGTTTTTATTCACCAATTTCAGTTGTGACCAACTCTCTTCCAAATGTACCAGGCTCAACCAATTGTTTTTTTTATTTCATAGAGGTGTATTACCAAGTACACTTTCATTTTGATCGATTATGTAAGCATAATTCTAGAGCAGTAAGTGGCTGAATCAGTGCTGCTGGTCAAAACATCACGGATCCAAGCACCACTCCACCTACTTCGTTTTAGCCGCCCAAGTACCAACATTAAATTTTACACAATGTAATTCAGAAAGCGAGATCAGGTTATGTAGCTATTTTTATTACATGTTAGTTCTTTTTTTAAAAGATAACCTCAATCACATTTTTCTAATCCATAATTCCTAAGTAACATTTGCTATTACCTGCTTGGTCGTCATCACTGTCAATTTGCTAATTTTGCGATACATTTGAGTTATCGCTTGTTACTGTAAAAATAGACTTGTTCCTTTTCAACTTTTGGCTTCCGTACAGAATACAAAGTTATTTGGAAAATCCCGTTTTCTGTACTAGTGCATGGATTATTATATTGAAGTACTGTTGTCCAGAGATGTCCTGTCTATTAAACTTTCCACTCGTTATGTTGTATTAGAAGAACACAATTATTTGCAAATAGAATTTACCATATGACAATCGGGAACACTAAATGTCTAGATGTAACACTTAATAGAATCGGATACATAAAATTGTACTGTATAAATTATTTTCAAATATTTTTAAGGATAGGTGATTAGTTGAAACGCTCACGCACAAATTATACACAACCTCAGCAGTTGTATTACTGATACTTTTTCGGTTTTACTCAGCTTGTCGACGGCTGAGGCTTTCTAGAAATATTTTCAATATTCACTAAGTATGTTATACCCAAAACTTTCGGTCATTTATCCTTTCATTTAGTAGAATTCTATACTGTATTAGACATATATTGAATAAAACCATCATTAATAATTATAGATATGGATGTATATGGCAGTTTAATTTTTATCAATAATTGTATCTCAAACATAACATTTTACTACAACTGTATTCTTCGTCCGCTATGTCAGGTCGCACGCTGGACATGTTCGTAGCAGACAGTTGTGGACAACTCTAGCCTCTTGAAACAGTATTTTTAATTAAACTTAATATAGTATACAGGCGCACCAACTAAGTTTACGGAAAAAATGACTGAAATTAATGAATACAACATACTTAATGAATATGAACAATGTTGTTGATAATCTCATCTGATTTTCTGTCAAAATACGGTTCCACTGATTTCGTCCAAAGTCATTCGCTACAGGATGAAAATTTTCTAGTTTAAAAGAACTCCTTTTTTAAGAGTTTGTTTAAATTCATTTGATTGAAAGATAGTTTTTGTGACGAACTTCCATCAGACGCAAAGGAAACACTGAAAAGCCAAGAGACGCCAAACAAGTATCTCCTCCTGTCAGTAAGAAATTATGTTTTTTCGTTGATGATGTTAAAGATTGGAATCGGTTGGTCTATACTAGTATGCGTAAGTCTTGAATAAATGTCCTTGATGTTGCCATTAATTTGGAAGTTTTAGTAAAGTTGGATCACGATAAGCGATGAAATCGAGGACATATGTTTTGTAACTCGTCAGCTGTATAAGCCTTCACCTTAATCTTGATCCTCACAGTGAAATTTAAATTCACCGAATTTCGCTCCAATCGCCCACACGTTGTCTGAGTTGTTAACTGTAAATAGCAACTAACTTGTGCAACAGGTATGAAGTTTATTGTAAGGGTTTATACTGCCTTTTTGACTGTGTGAACATCAAAACTAAGATTCAGTTACATTAAGCTAAAGAGTTTCAAATAGGACGATAAGCACACTATGGGTCTCACTGTTAACCGCTGTGTAACCTAAATACAATCTATTTTATTCTAGTTTATTAATTATCGACAGTGCACATACATACATAAAAGACTGTACTTAGGATTGAACTTTGAACACATGAACCCGGAAGTGTCTTTAAAGTACTTGATGAGAATTTAGTAGTCTACACTTTCATCTTCAGTTAATTCACGAAGTAATGCAATATTTCTCCGTCTGATTCCATTTCATGATAGAAAATTACATTCAAAAAATTAAAACAGATCAGTAATACTATGACGTTTTCCACTTAACTAATTGTTAAGAACTATCAACTGATTATTGTTATTATTACTATAAATGTCGATCATATTCCACATCAACATTTAATACCGCCCTACACAACGGTGGTAGTGGTGAGGATGTTAATATTTCAGATTGTTGTTCAACTCAATTATCAAAACCATAAGTGAACATGTACAATTCACTGATAATCACACTTGAAATATGTAGTGAACATCTTTGACTATATAGTGCAATTTTGATAATGCTAAAATGTCAACTTATATTGATCTTTAGATAGTTGTTGTTTTGTAAAATAAATTCCTGATAATAGTTATTTACATAAAAGCTATAGTTTAACATTCATGTGTGCATAGGTTAAATATTTATACCATACTTATCTTACTAATATAGCAATTCAATTTCGAGTCCCGCGTGCAACATCATGTGTACGCGCTACTGAGGTGTCTCTTACTACGACAAAACGACCGTTCAATGCTTCCAGGTTTTCAATGGTTGTCTGGCTTATATCAACTCGTGAATTCAACTGTTAAAAACTTGTGTTTAGAAAAGTGAATCCTACAATTATTATATGTTTTAGGCAAACTGACATAAATTTTATTGATGAGGTAACACCAAAGCGAAGGTGTATTACTAACTACTAAAAAGTCAACTTGATAAATATCCAAAGGTAAACTAACCAAAATGCTAGTTCACTAAGCAGTTGTTAATTAATTTGGCTCATTTAGGAATGGGTGAACATTCTTTGGTTGTGTATTATGTTTGAATTTGGTGCTTGAATATCAGGGACAATATGATTTTTAATCTGTTATGATTGTAAAAATGCTTTTAATGTCATGAAATGTCATGGTAACGTGAAAAGATCCAAGTACACCATTTTTATATTCATCTGAACCTGTGTTATTGTGATCAGGATTAATAATAAACGTGTGCTGAACAATTATATGAAGTGACTAAAATAAACTTGAACTTTCTTTCTCACCTTTGATATATATGTCTACTTCTCAGCAGTTCTCTCCCCTCTACTTTGTGAATGTGGAATATGACCATTAACAGTACAGGATATTCGTAGGTTACAGGTATTCGATCACAGAGGTCTTCCAAGTATTGCTTGTGTATTCGACTGAAGAGGTAGTAAGTCTTCATCAACTCAAATGGTTGTGACATGTGTTACATATAACCAACCACAGCCTATCCCAACGGGGTATGTTTTCTGGTGTAGGTGTGAGATATAAGAAACCTAATGGCGTTTTAACCAAAACATGCTATCAGTCCATGAATTCACTGACAATTGGACTTAGTCATGTTATTGGGTATAGACTACTTGGTCGGGATCAGTGTGGTTATCGTAATTAGTGGTTAGAGACTCCAAGTGACACAGCTTAAAGTCGTTTACAATGGAGTAGATACATCCATTCTTTGCCTTTCCCGAATTTTAAACCTGTGAACTCCTCATAATTCTTTTTTATTTCAGTAATTTCCATTTTCTTGAATTGTATTTTCAATCTCTAATATTTTATATTACTGTTACTAACCCCACAATTCTAAGAAATAACATGACAATTTCATCTCTCCGTAATAATATGGTACAGCAACTTGAATCGATTTACAGACGTACTATTTTCTACGCTGCGATATATATATATATATATATATGATGTATTTGCGAATGACTAGCAATTTTTTAAACTAAATTTTAGACGATTGAAACAACAAACATATTCCTATTTTAAAACATTGAATATATCCAAGTAAAAAATAAATTTATATCCAAATATCAATTCATAGTTAATTATTTTATGATTTTCTTTTTCATTCTTGTAAATAAATTATTTTCACAATGAATTTTGATATCACGCTACGTTAAAGAATTGAACGGACCAGTTGACTAAGAATCAATATTTATGAATAGGTCTATCTATTTGATGACAAGCTAAAAATTATGACATGAATAATTTCCAAATAATTTTAAAGCTATTGGTTATGTGTACATTCTACATAATTGGATCGTAGAATTATTTGTCATCTTAATAAAATTTTCATTACAGATTGTTATCTATGATGTAGAAGTGTCAAAAATCTAGGAAACATAACAAATATAAGAATATTAAGCGTCTTGTATATTTAAGACTCAAATCATTATTGATGTACCTGGATAAATTCATTCCATATAAACAGACCTTAAAATAAGTAAATTTGCTACTTACTGATAAAATTTACGGAAGTACATCATATATATTCTATACTGTCGAGTCAATCAATTGGCCTTATCAAATGGAAACATTCAGTTGACAGATTTCATGTATATTGTCATTTGTTTAACAACTTCCCCTTGAAACCTGTGCAAAATACTTTATCTAAAATAATTAATTTTTAATCAGTCTGCAGTTGTATGTGCAGTTCTTGAAAGAATCGAAAGTTAACGGGCTTTCTGTTTAACTACGTTATTTATGATAAATAGGTCCTATTGTAATGTGTGCTACTTATATCGACATAAGTAGTATGTGATGTCAGTCAGGAACAAAATGTCTGGCCGCTAAGAGACAAGAGGATCGAACAGTAAAGAATGGAAACAGAATGCAATTTGTATGAAAATGCAAGAACAATGAAGTCTGTGTCATTATGAGACAATCGATGGACATACTGCAAATTAAGAAATTACTTTATGATTGTTAGATTTTATTAAAGTCCTGTAATTTTGTGTCAAATACATTCGATTGTCCCCACCCGTGTTCTGTTCACTACACTATATGATAATAAGTACAACACCAGTAGGTGATACATCTTGTCTATCACGTTTTTTTCCATTGATCACTATATCTAATGAATAAATAACCAATCTAGAAAACTATACCATTGTTAAACTTGCAACCTTCGATTATTATCATCAATGGCGAATAGTAAACAATTTCATGTAACTTACAATAATCTCATAACTATATTTTTATTTTTGTAAGAGTATTATATAAGCACTTTTTTCTATTTCATATTGCACACTATGAAATTTTATGATTTCCAACTGTACAAAAAATTCTCAACTATGACGAACCATTACTTGTTTAATAATTATTAGTTATCAATGATTTTTGAGTTGATATATCAGTTCATGATGAAATTTATAAGTTAAATTGTGTAACTAGGTTATTGAAAAGTATTTTGTTTCATATATTTATATGGTATATATGGTATGTGTTTATTGTTCATGCACTTTGAATTGTTTGTCTTTTAAAGATATTCAAATGATCTGTTTATTGCTTAATGTTCAACTTTTATAAAATAGGAAATTTAGTATATTTGTTTAACTTATACCTATCAGTCTAGTAGATTATACTTGAAATCATCAAAAGTGTTAGGTATTTACATTGCGGATTTGACTATTTCATATATATGTTTATAGGTCTAATTATTTTATATGATTCTTATGAATATTGTTTACTTCTTTTGCTTTTGGCTAATTCAATGAATCATCATTTACTAATAGTTAACACTGAAATGACCTATAGATACATTAAGCATTCATTCTCTCTATTTATATGCAGTACATGTCAAATTTACTTAAGAAATAAGTAAATAAACGAGATAGTATTAAGTGTTAATAAAGTGTTTATAATCGGTCATTTGTATAATGTAATCTTCTATGATTGTTAATGTTTGTATGCTAATAATCCTACACAAGTTAATAAAAAGGATTTTGTATTTTTTTATCAGTAGGAACAATTCTGAAAACTAATGCTTATTACCCACTGGTCATTCATAAATATCTTGTTAAAAGACAAAATATTATTATTATTATTATTAGAGAGCTTAAAATTTGTACTGTTCTGTTTGTAATGAGCAGTCTGCTGTCACACGAATGAGCATTAGATTCCAGAAGAATAAACTCGCGCTACATCGATGAGTATCAACTACCATGAAATATCAACCCAGTGCTTCTTCTCGATCACTTCTAATCATCTTAATATTTCGTTATGTTTTCTATCACTTATTATTATTCTTGAACTAAAAATGGAATTTAATACATTTAAAAATAAACTATCTGTAAACTGTCCTACTTTCCTTTCGGAAGTTTAGAAGAGGTTAGTCTATTTTAGGTTGTATACATCACAGAATGATTTGCTTTCTGCCACCATTGAGAATCAAGGAGCATTAACTAGCTGTTTCTATTTATTGTGGGACTCACCATCAGTACACATCCATGACTCTTCAAGGTTTCGAACTTAGAATTTTCAGGTTTTACAACGAATGCTGAATTATCAGAACCACTAAGTTGGTATTCAGTGGTATAATTTCAACTTGAATAGTTTCCGTAATAGCTCGACGAACATCCGGTCCCATTGATGACAGTTGTTTCGGTAAAATTCAAGCTTTAAATAAGCTTCAAACTTTTAGGCTATTTAGCTGAGACTACTTTCTCCCTGCTTCACTAACCATTCCCAGACAACGTAAATATTTGCACAAATGAATGTCACTTGTAACTGACTGTTTCCTTTCCTATAGACAATTAATTAAATAGTTTAAAATGAATATTCAGTTTGTATTATAGAACAAATATCTTAAAACTATATACGTTTTTTTTAAAGATCAAGAGTTTGAATTATTAATTATTAAACAAAAGAATTTCCAAGTCAATCATCAGCAAATGATTGTAAGTTTTCTTTCGGAACACATTCTTACAAGAACTAACTAATAATAATGTGAATACTTCCATTTCTTCAAAACATCTTAACTACATAAATTAAATAAATATCATTATTGTAAAAATAATTGAAAATTGAATTTGAAGTGAAACACTGTAAATTATTTGGTTCACTAACCTTTCCATCTTTCTATTCTAAGAAGATGACAGATGATCAATTATTGAGTTTAACTAGTACCTAATAAATTGTTTCTTTAAAAAACTTCATAAATGGCAATATATTCAACTCATATTCTAAATTTACTCAGTTTATTCTTTTTTTTCTTTTTTACTAGTTGGGATCATGAATCATTTGAAGCTAGACCGCCACGAAAAACCTGGAAGCAGTGGACGGCCGTTTCGACCTATTGTTAGACTACTCAGCAGTTCGCATCCATCATCCCGCCCCGCGGGATTCGGACCCAGGATCTGTTGAACTCGCGCGCGAACGTTTAACCTAGCTTCAATTGGTTTATGATCTCAACTATCAAATAGCTATAATATTCACAAAACCGCTTTCTAATATTTTTTTGTTTTCATTTATTTCTTTTTAATAACTATGAATACTAATTTTAATAAAATGACATTTATTTTTATTTGTCACTGAATTAACTATGTTAAGTAGTTTCTTCTATTTTAATGAATTTATTAATTTAAAGTACTCATTTTTGTATACTGGAAGTGTATCTACAAAATATACATAATGTTCTAATATGCCTAGCTTTTAGAAACTTATTCTCTGATAGATACTTTTGTTTACGGATACATTTCTACATTCTCAGTGAGTATAATGTAACTGTTGTTTTTATCTTAAATAAATATTGGCATAAATGTGAATACAGCTTATTAATATCAACACTTTACTTCACCTTCTATCTAAAGGTTCATCTCTTGACACTACCGATCGATTGTATGCACCATTACCGGGATTAAAATCACATGAATTGTATGTGGCTTATGGTGGTCCAGGTGTACCAAGTAGTGCTGTAAATGGTTTCACTGATAAAACGAAATTTGGCACTGGAATCGTATTAATATTTCAAAGTAATAAACAAAATGGTAGAAATAATATCAAACCATTAATGAGAATAGAAGGACAAAGTTTTGGCAGTCGATTTGGTCATTCACTTATATTTCTCGATATTAATGGAGATGGGTAAGTAGATTTCATAGGAATTATATAAATATTATTATTTGTCAGTAAACTAATTATTTATGCAGTAGAATTTTCATTACGAACTGGAGCTAATCGGAAAACCATCATGAATTGAAGAATACTAACCAATTGTTTTATCATTGTTCAAGATTACACTTGTGGTGGTCGGTATTCGATATAATCATGAAACTTCGTATACAGCTCGTCTTGATAACCGTTCTATATGACGTCCCAACGGTATATTAATCAGAAGGCAAATACGAAGTGTTGATTACGTTTATTACGAGACCACACACATATATCCCAAATGTACAGATGCGTTAAACAAGCATAGAAGAGTTGTGCTGAAAGGCAAGCAAGCGAGCGAGAGCCATAACAAAGCAATTTTGACACGTATGGAAGATGGCTGGGAAGCCAACTCCATTTTAGTCAGGCGTTACTCAATATTTATAGTCAGACAAAATAAAGCTACAGACATATGATTAATAGGATAAGAAGGGCACACACATATACGCTCATATAAAAACAGTCAAGACTGACAAGCGAATAATTGACAAGGTCAAAATATGGCTCAAGTAAAATGAATAAAATGGGATGTCCGGAAGTTAGAATAAGGTATATGGGCTTGCCATAATAACTGACACTACATACTTAATTACAAAACGACAACCTAACATAGCTTGAAATCCAAAAATACTTTCAGCTTTAGTCAGTTCTCTATATAGGTGTGGATAAGTATCACACTCCTGAAATCGCTTTCTCTATAAGTCAACAATAAATCGATCTAAAAGCTTTTTATAAATAGATATTTAGCAAACAATCATCTGTGAAAATTTGATTAACAATCATAGTCTTTTTACTGAATCGGAATCACCTGAAAAATAATCTGTAATCAAATAAAACAAGTTTTAACTTAATTTGTAATGGCTTGGAAGAAGGTACATTCAGGTGACGAGTTTAAATTGGAATTCCTCTGTTAACTACATTCCATTTATTCTTTATCAATCGATTGTGTTTTGGAATATGCTGGAAACTTGAAATATTGCCAGCATAACATTATATTCTAAAAACACAATTACATCGATATATCAGTGCTTTTTTGTTTGAATTTGGTAATCTATCTACTATCAATTACTAGCTATTATGATGATACCTTGTTCTTTTTTTCGTATTGCGATATACAAAATAACAAGTTTAAAGTATACTTGAGGTCAATCAATGTAATTAAACAAAACAATGTAGAATTCAGTGTATGTTCAAAACAAAGTACGTAAGAGTTTTCAAAATATGGTACTTGAAAAATGCACATATTGATAATGTATGTGGATCTAACATATTGAATCTGAATATATATAAACTTAAAAGTACTTTTCTTATTTATATTACTTATAATAATATCACTTATGTAAATGGCATCTTATTTAAATGAGATTTTTTAATACTAGATTTGTTGTGACTTATAAAATTTGGTCTATGTACTATGATCACTAACTATATGAAGTTATAAATGACCACTTAACAATATGTATAACTCAGTGTGAATCTGACTCAATTCTGAATACTACAGGAAAGGGGAAAAAGATTTAGAAAGAATAGGTAATACTCTCCTTAAACTAAAATTATCATTGAGTGAACTTTATTTACAACAGATAACAGATGAATTCTTAAATCACATTTTAAAATGAATAAGTTCGAATTTCACAAGAATCATCAATTCACTTAAGATTGGAGGAACGGGCTAGTACAAAACCTACTGTCGTAACTACCTGTAACCATCTGACATCTAAATATAATGCACCCGAAGTCGAATTACCTAGGCTTGTGGTTACACTACACCTAGATCAATAGAATTCAAACCAGTTTAAAGGACTAGACAAATATGACATTCTCCTCTACTCTGAGATCAATCATTTTTAAATATCTCTGTCCTATAGAAGGTTAACCACGGCCTTACTGGCCCACTGATAACTTCTAAGACTGTGAGACTTGTTGACATGAATTCGAATCCCACCAAGTGTCAGTTGCATCAAGATCCCAATTACACGTTCTTGACAAATGCCAGCTAGCAAGATACATAAGACCAAAATCTCTTGCCGATCACTTTCAACCACCTAACGTCTAAATAAATAGACCAGCGAATGACTATAGCTAAGTACGAAAAGTTTCGGTAAAGTCTCATAATATGTAAATTAATAATCGGAATAAGGTTGAATGATGATTATTTTTGTTGTTTTTCAATGAAATAACAAAGAGTAAAGTTACTGTATCACATAATATAAACTTAACACAACTAAATTGTACATTTGCTAGGCAGTTCAGTTTGTCAGATTAGTTGTTTTCAATCTGTAAAATAAATTTAGTTGAAAACACTAGTTACAAATACAAACGTACTACATTACTTTTGGGATAAGTAAGATGTCTTTACTATAAATAATATAAAATAATAATGACTCGATCGAATACTTCATTTTAAAGCCTTTCTCCTAAATGATAATCCAATCAGGTTGTCGTTCTTTTTTACGTCGTTATACTTTTCTCTATATTTTAGCCACTTGTATAGATTTCAAAGTATACACGAATTAGAATGATTTCAATTTAATTTAAATAAATAGATAAAAGGAAATTACCCTCTAGACCACTGAACCGACATCCAACAGTGCTAATGTCTAACTTCAACCAATCCATGATATTGTGCGACCGTCCACCATTGTCTTCAGTGAGTAACTGCCTCAGCAACAGACACGGTTGAACTCCACTGGTCACGGCTTCTCACTAGAACTCCAGAAAACTCATCTTGAATCCAATCACTAGTGAGCACATGATAAATATCAGTATAAGGTTGTGATGGTCTAATATTTATCCATTCATGATATCAGTTTAAATTAAACAATCTCCACAGCCCTATACTGATCAAAGGAAATTAGTCAGTATACAAAAAAACTACTTTTACAAATTGTATTGCAATAGAATATAAATACTGCAGTCTCTAGTTTATAATCCCCGTAGATTATCTGAGATACGAAAAACTAATGCATACTATGGAACTTTCAAATAATACCCTAAACAGTTGTAAATAAAATATAATCCTATGAAAATTATATCTATCATTTACAAAATGATAGTTGATCATACTGTATTTCGAAATTTTGTTTTAATATACTCTGGATTCATGTAATGATCGAAATACCATTCTATGTGAAACAGATTATATATATATATATATATATATATATATATATATATATATATATATATATATATATATATATAGATAGATAGATAGATAGATGCATGCATGAATATCTTAAGTTTAAAATACGATAAAGCTCATTGAACTATAAATAAAAACTGCAGTACTAGATATATACAGTATATTTACTGGAGGCATTCATTCCTAAGTTTTTATCAGGCCAGTTGAATCTTTTTAAACATAAGCAATGTGAAAGTATGAATTTTTATCAAACGGTCACTTATCATTAGACATCAGAGCATTGAATAACTTATCTCTACTAAAAAGATTAATTTCAACTTTAGATACATGTACTTCAAGTTATTAAACGATTAAACATTTTTCCTATCATTCTATCTCTCTTACTTTCCTAAAAGTGTAGCAGAACTTTATGTACAAAATGACATCAATTTAATTTAAAGGTATATTACATATACTTCTGGATATGTAATATTTATACAACACTTATCAGATTCACTCACTCACTACTATGTAAAATAAATGTGTTAATAAACAGTAACAAGAAAGATATTTACAGTAGTCACTAAAGTATAGTAAACTCATGATCCATAAAATCTATTGCAGTAGACAGGTGTATTTAGATATATTTTTACCACGAGTAATATTGTACTACTTTTAGTACATTCATAGTGAAATGTGAAAACAAAACAAAATGTTGAATTATATTCCGATACAATAATTTAACAGTATGGGGGTTGTGGAGATTGTTAAGTTTTTGGTTGAGATCATGAATTAATTGATGTTAGACCACCGTTGGAAACCTGGAAGCACTGGACGGCCGTTTCGTCCTAGTATGGGACTCCTCAGCAGTGCGCATTCATGATCTCAACCAAAAACTTAACAATCTCCACAACCCCCATACTGATAATTAACATGTGCTCACTAGTGACTAGCTTCGTGAGGGAATTCTCGGAGTTCTAGTGAGAAGTCGTGACCAGTGGAGCTAATCCGTGTCGGGTAGAGACAGGTATCTACCTCAGTACAATGGAAGGTGGTCGCGCAATTTCGTGGATTGGTTGATGTTAGACACTAACACCATTGGATGCCGGCTCAGTGGTTTAATGGTTAAGTGCTCAGGCGCGAAGCCAGTAGGTCCTGGGTTCGAATCCCGCGGGGTGCGGGATCGTGGATGCGCACTGCTGAGGAGTCCCATACTAGGACGAAACGGCCGTCCAGTGCTTCCAGGTTTCCAACGGTGATCTAACATCAATTAATTCATTATCTCAACCAAAAACAATAATTTAAGTTTATCATCTTAAGCTCATTCTGATTCGATCAATGTGAACTTTTATGTAACCCCTGAACTAAAACAATAAAGATTTATAAGATAATGTGACATTCAATATTACTTTAAATTTTGTTGTTGTTGTTGTTGTTGTCAGATTATCGAAAATCAATACTTCAGACTGAATGAATTACCATGAATCAATTAAATGATACATTTACTGACTTAGTATTTACTACATCAAATGATTTAATTGTCATTCATTTATTTATATAATTTCAATCTCTAAATACACTTTAATTACTTAAATGATTCAGTAATTTTTGTTTAAATTAAGTGACAATGAAACTTTAAAAAAAAAAAGATTTGGATCTTTATTTATTCAAATAATTTGTTTAATTTTAAATCATGACATTGATGAAGACATTTGGATTTGAATGTTTTTCGCTATATATATATGTGTTATTCATTGAATTCATTCAGGGGATTTTGTTAAATTTACAATTTATTGAGTATAAACAAGAACTGAATTGATAATATTGGGAACATTAACTTCAGTAAAGCTTCAACCTATTCTCTTGAAAGCTTTCGATGAGTGAATGAGAACATAAGTTAGGACCAATGTCTTAGTAACATTTGAGAACTTAACAGTAAATCCTTCATTAACAAAATGTTCATTAATTGTCTCAGAATTCATTGTTTGTGTATTTCCATACCAATTGATTTCTATTCCCGTTCTTTACTCCTCGATCGTTTCTAACTTCTGCTGCCAGACATTCTATTCCTGACTAGCGTAATATACTACTTATGTCGACATAAGTAGCACATACCACACAACATATACATATTAAATGAAATATAGATCAATGTGAAGAACAGTGCTAGGTGTTTGTTCTTTACCAGGCATCCATCATGATATGGCATATTTAGGATATTGAAAATAAAATTACAATTAGATTTATTCCCACCGGTGGTCTTCTGGTAGTAACAGTAACATTATGCTGTGAAGTGATGCAAGTTACTGTCTATAATATCACTTCACATTTGAAAAATTCGGCCTCCAAATTAAGCTTAATCATTTTATCCGATTACTATTCTTTCCAATTAATACGCGTATAAAATTCGTAAATGTTCCAGCTTATAGACCTTGCAGTATAGCAATGCTATCTTCATTTGCGATCGACTACATGTCTTGTTTACGTTTTTATTATTCGTAACATCTCTGGCAGTCCTTCAAAATTTACCTCTGTGGCTACCTCATCATTTATAAACCCTTAACTGTTTTGTTTTAGAATCGCATATATAGATTTCCAGAAACTCCGCTCACCAGAATCCATTCGGACAGTAGATAAGTGATCTGAAGTACAAGTCCCATCAAACATTTGAAGTAAACCAATTCACGTACTGATTGTGCAGATTATATATCCTTCCTACAAAATTTAGTCTAACAAACAGTAGACTATGCTTCCTGTACCAAATAAATCATTAAAAACCCAATAATTTTGTCTCTAAATAATAAAGAAGTTTTAGGTTGTTATTTGTTGGATAGTTCACTGACTTGTTTTTTCTCACATTTTTATTAGTTGGGATGATCTAATTGTCGGTGCACCTTATCAATATTCCAATACGACTGTCGGTGGACACAGAAGACACGGAGCAGTGTTTATATTTTTAAATAGACAGTCATATTTCTATACACCAGTGGATGAAGTCAGTGACGTGGAGTTGTTTAGTTACAATTATCCTGAAACTTTTCAAATAATTACACCTCCATCTCATAATTGTGGTAATTCACATATTCCTGGATTTGGAGCGACAATTACAAAACTTGGTGATATTAATCACGATGGTTTTCAAGGTAATGTTAACGATCAAAAAATGTATCAGTGTCATACAAAATTCTGGTTTTAATTTAACGATCTAAGAATACTTCATAGTAATTAGGAATAGAATCTACTATATATTTATGATCTTTACAGACCGTTATCATTTAACGTATTAAGAGCTTCAGAGTAACTTATTTGTTTAGTGATTATATTCTTTATATGAATTCTTCAAGACTAACGTGGTCCTAAATTTAAACAGAAATCACAAAAGGAGACCAATATCGTTTATTGAATTTTCTATCATAAAATGGTCTAGTGTATCTTCTTCTCTGTTACATGGTCAGTAATAAGGATTAGGTAAATGATAGCTTACTGGTTACGAAAACTCAGCTCTCAATTTATTCAATCTCATGTTTATATTCCACAACACCTACTTCGGTTTGAATAGTCGGTGAATATTTCAACGTAACTAATTTCCGTCCAAAAATCTAAACCGGTGTCATTATAGTGCTCAAGTCGAATAACTCAATTTTGATGAAATTCAGGACCAGAGATTCTTATTAACTGACTTCATACGTCATGCATTGAATAGCTGGATGGTGATATAATTAATCTAGTTGTAAAAGTGTGTAACTACACTTGAGGTCAAATCACCAATTATTAGTCTCTAGTTAGCATTTGTAAACTAAATAAATCCCTACAAACATTTCCCTTCCCTGTCGTTTTACTGCACTACTTCGAGTTGCTACTTAATTAAGTAATCCCACCTTTCATCAGTTTTTGTGTAGTGAACACAAACACCAATGGGGACAATCGAATGTAGTTGACACAAAATTTCAGGACTTCTTAATAAAATCTAACAATCATATAGTAAATACGTAATTTGCAAAATGTCTATCAATTGTCTCATAATGACACAGACTTCATTGTTCTTGCATTTTCATACAAATTTCATTCTATTTCCATTCTTTACTGTTCGATCCTCTTGCCATTCTGCTGCCAGACATTCTGTTCCTGACTAACATCACATACTACTTATGTCGATATAAGTAGCACACACCAAAATTGTAAACGAAAATAGGATACCACATAACTGTCTTCGCCCTTGAATTATAATGATTCAGTGTCAAAATCTTTTTCACTTTAGATGAATATTTAACGAAAAAATGAGTAAATAAGTTAACAAAAGGGCTTAACTGAATTAAATGAGAACAAACTCAACTGCATGTGAATTGCTATAATTCACTCAGAGTGGTGACAACATTAGAGCTTGATTAGTAGAACTCAATCGGATTTAAGGACTGTACTTGATCTTTGAATTATTGGTCACTTCTCAATGATCGTTCAATATGAATCATATCTCCCCTTATTAAATAATAAAAAACGAAAACTTGTTTGCAACGATCACAAAAATGATTCTACGTCTACAGATACTAATAAGAGCGTATCATCATTTCATTTTTGCAAACAATCTTTTCTCTCTAATCCATATGAGTACTTTATCTTCAGTGATTTAAAAGATTACTGAAGCTATGTGTATGTGTATAAGTTTTATGTTTCACATGTCTCAGGTTTATTCCGTGGATGATTCTATTTGTACTACCGAGTTGGCATGCCTTAGCAGTTTACAGTTCATACATACACTATCCATCCTTTCAGTGCATGTTATAAATATTGAACCAAAAATTGTTCCTACCTTATTTACTTAAAACAATTGGTTAATTTATAACATTTAGATTATAACGACGTAACCAAAACTGAAAAAAACCCCAGTTGAAACAAAGTATTATATGACTTAAAGATTTTCCATACAAGTTACTGAATACACTTTAAGATAATACCATATATTTATTTTTAAGTGCATATCACTTTAGACCACCAGTAAACTAATCCATAACTTTTTACCATGAGTTCACTTGTATTAATTATTCCTTTCTTTGAAGTAATGTCCTTCACAGTATGTTATATTTTTCAATTTCTTTTTCTTATCTATGAACATATTTTGTATATGTGTATCTATATTTGTGTATGTGCTTATATAATAAAACCCTGTTATATATTTCTCCATATTGTGCTTAAACAATAAAAAAAATGGTTTATAACCTTATTTTAAAAAAAATGTTTATTTATTATTCCATCAATCTTGAAGACAAAGAATAACTTTTTACTCTCCGTATCATGTAGACAATATTTATTACCTCTTTTTACACTTAATCATAATGAAATTAGACTTTGCTGTCGGTGCTCCTTATGAAGACAACGGTGGTGCAGTCTACATATATCATGGAAGTAAATCTGGAAAACTTCAAAAACCAACACAAGTACGCTGTGTTTATTTATTTTAAATATTCCTTGTTTTTAATATTCTTGAGTGGATTTCAATGGCATAGTTAGCCTATGTGTATTATATACTGACTATTTCAATGTACTCATTAAGAAAGAGATTGTGCAGTGGAATCCGGGATGTATGCTTCTTCCAAATTCAGACTCATAAGTTAGATATACCTGCATCATAGCGAAGTGGTTCTGTCAAGACCATCCTAAAACAATCCATATATATCAATTAAAATTGGTTAAAATTCAGTCAGGAATATCAACAACGAGATAAATTTAACTGTTTAAATTAAACTGATTGTTTGTGTTATACAGATAAATCAGTAATCAACTTGAAAAAGAATTGTTTATAAAAGAAACTAGGGTAATATTTTATGTTTTTGTTCGTCAGTCCCACACTTTTACTTGATATGGAAAACACTTCGTATAGTAATGTAAAACATTCATTACCTTTCGATTGTCTTGGTTTCTAGAAAGACGAGATTCAATTTTAACAGAGGAAATGATAATTGCAAAATTATTTTTATTATGGACTGGGACCAACTGCAAAGCCAAATAAAATTACCTAGTTCATTAAGACATGAGATTACCTGATAGTGTTCAATCATGTTTTGCTAAGTCATAACTGGCAAGGTTTAATATATACTGGGTGTGAGGTATTTACCAGCCGAAACTAAGCGCGAGCTGTCACACCATATTAAAGCTGAAAATGTGACCTAGTGGTCTAAGTATCAAGTAATTATATATGTTGCTTATTTTTAATTTCCTCTGTTAAGAGATCATCATTGTCCTATACAAACGTCAGTTTAGATAACGTCGAAGACCGGATATTGTTAAAACAATCGAACTTTATATTAACAAAGTGCTTTCTCTAATCCATAAAATATGTTTGCCTTTATTGATCAAGACACAACTTACCATTCGAAGACACTTTTATAAGTGAAAATCGTTTATGCCGATCAATTGTAGTTGAAATGTTAAATGCATCACATTAATTCTAGAGAGTCAATCTATTATTAATTGTCTACAATGATTTGTCTCTAATGATTTGTTGATCTACCTTGAAGTTTGAGCTGATTTAAAAACCGTGACTTGACTGTTAAATCAGATAAAATATTTTAATATTGATTCTAAACTACATATTTTAATAAAATAAACACAAATAATGAAAGAACAGAGATTTGTTGAACAATAGAAACCCGTATTGACTAAAAATAGTTGAAACTAAATGAAAATCAAAAGAATAGTGATAACTAACTGGTACCATTAATAGTAGCCAAATATTTTAATATTCGTATTGAATATCAAATGAATATTTCAACACAAATGACTTTTTTTCTATTGTATCACTGCTTTTTGTGATACTTCAACACTAAGATGTGCTTGTGCGTGTGTGTTCGAATGTGCGTATGAATGCTCACAAATTGACAGCATAACTAACCCGTGGTAACTATGACCCATATTCATTTATCTTCTGAGATTTAAAGTATAATAGACCATTAAAAATACTATTATTTGATCAACAGAATAGTTTTAAATTCCATTTTGACTATTATTATATATGTATTTGAGAATACTTGAGGATAATTTCGATCATAGAACAATTACACAAGCTTATAAATCATCAAAATGTAAGAAGCGCTAAATATGTGTATTTTATCCATAGTTCAACATACTCTTAGAGTTTATACTAACTACTTTAAACAGGGTCATACTTGTAAATAAATAATCCTGTGGTGATCACGACTGGCTAAACAGTGTTAAGTTTACTAAGAGATCTGTAAAAACTAGGTTTGTTATCTCTCCCGTCTTATGATTTCCCTTTGTTGATATTACTCAAACTCAGATAACTCAACTGTGTAATTTTTGTTTGACTTTTTAATGCTTTAAGTAACTGGTGAAAATTCAAAAAAAGTTTTCATGGTAGATGTTTTTTAAAAAAATTTCATTGAAAAACTATCGATATTCTTTGAGTAAAGAAGATACTCTGAAAAATCAAATATTTAGATTTTCATCAATAATTTCAAGCTTTCTCTTTCAATCATTTTCCGACAATACTTATAATCTGCCGATTAATTCCATCTACTTGGTGAGAAATAATGCACCTTGAAATAAACTACCAGCTTGTTTTATCAATATTATTTTGACAGAAGTCACTAAACTATCTGTTGTGTAACACAACTTACAAACCAATATTTAATGTGAATTATGTATTGAATAACAGTTTTAGAGTGTGGATTGACTAGAGGACAGGTTTCAGCAAATAAATGCTAATAAAATCCTGAAAAATAGACAGAAAACTGAATTATATTTTGCTTGATGATTGATAATTCCTAATCTGTCAGAATTATTGATCTATTCTTGCAACATTGAATACTTATTTATAGACCCTAGACAGTTGTAGGAAACAATAACCTGTTGCATCGTTGAGAATAAAGTTTTACGCTTTATTTCTACCAGTTGGTTAGAGTAACCTATTTTCTTCGATTAAACTGTAGATTTCTACCCTATTCCATTTAAATCAGTTTAGGCAACCGAGTATTATTATTATTATTAAGTTTCATACCTAAGATGTAACTCAAAATAACAAATATGTATAGGCTATCTGTTACTGATTGTGTAACATTTCACCTCTATGTTTGTTTGTTTGTTTGTTTAACTTTACGGTCAACATTTCAGCAACATTCATTAAAACTCTTTTAAATTAGGTGTTAAAACATTGTTTTCTAATAAATTATTATAGTTCTCCAATATATTTGTTAGAATAAAAATAGCTGTTTTTTTTAGAAATCCATCATTTACAAATTTGTACATCTTTATAACAAATTCTACGTTGTAATAAGTAATACGCACTGTCATCCCTGCTTCTTTATCATTTTTACGTGATTTATACTTGATGGTTTAAATTGATGTTATCCAAACCCCGATTGGATGAAAATTTGATATCTACACATAGAAACACAGATATGTATAAATAAACATGCACAGACTAAATGATGTGTCATAATAGAGATTATGTAACAAATATTGGTCAGTGTATCTTTTCTTATTAATATATTTACTATTTATTTAACTGCTAAATGAAAATCGTGGTAAGATAATATCCTGCAATTAAAATTGGATATTCAATCGAATATAGAGAATTGGGTTAGTGATTTGTAATCTCCACATCAGTCGAAATATTGTTTGTTTGTTTTACATAAATACATTCACGAAGATACGTTATTTCAGTGATCATACTTTTGTTTAAATTGCTCGTTAAACTTACTCACTCCTAAGCCACATTCTATGAGAAGTTGTGGCTGAGATAAAACAGAGTGATGAAACCATGAGCTTTCACAAACCATTACAAAAGCTACGAAAGGTAGATCAAATGCCATAGATTGATTGAGGTTAGACATTAACACCGTTGAATGCCGGATCGGTGGTCTGGTGGTTAGGCGTTCGCAAGCGGGGCCAAAAGTTCTGGATTCGCGTCCTTCATGAAGAATCGTAGGTGTCCGTTGATAAAACGTCCCATACTGGGATGAAACGGCCATCCAATGCTTCTGGTTTTTCAATAGGGGTCTAACGTTGGTCGATTAATAATTCCAATCAAATGAGTCCTTTTCTATCGAATGTAACTTTTCCCTTTTCAATGAAAGTGTTATAATTTGCTTGGGAAGGCCGTATCACGTAGTTCTAGTGAAAAAACCTTGTTCAATAATTTACTTCGGAAAGTATATGTGCGGTGCAAAGACACAGACTATCATATTGTTTATTATTGAACACTATAACATCGTAATCCTTAGGACAATAATAATAAACTTTTCCAAACCTTTTCTCCTTAAAATTTAAAAACACACCTTGTAAACTCCTGACAAGTGTTATATTATCATTTACTTCATTCACATCTATCTTCTTATATATTTTCCAGTGGAACGAGACTCCGATACACTAGAATCCATACACTCAATCAAAAAAATATGAGAGCCCTTTAATACTTCATCTAGCAAATATACTATGAGACGAACAGGTTGTAGGAGCTGACCTAGTCAATAACCTGTATTCTTAAACATGTTGCTAATTAAAAGTTGTACAGATTCTAATCTTGTTATAAAACATTCCATTCAAATCCAGATAGTTTATTTGATAACTCTATGTGTATATTTTAGTTGAACTCATGAACCAATCAACTTTAGACCACCGCTAGAAACCTGGAAGCATTGGACGGCCGTTTCATCCTGGTATGAGACGCCTCAACAGTGCTTATCCACGAGCTTTCACGCGGGATTCGAACCAAAGACCTTCAGTCTCGTGTGAGAACACAAAGTAGTCACATACCAAGACGAAACGGCCGACCAGTGCTTCCAGGTTTTCAACGGTGGTTTAATATTGATCGGTTCATGATCTCAGTTAAAATTCAACAATCTCCACAACCGTATACTTATAATCATCTGCATAAGTATGCAGTTATCGATCTTGTTTTTCTTTTCTGTGTTTTGTTCAAAACTTGTTGAAATGCTTTACGCTGAGAATTCTATATTGTAGTAAACACGTCATATTGAATAAAGTCATTAAAAGTAACGATAATGATAAATGAAATTGACAGCTTCAAAGACTTTCCATGACAATTTTATTCGGCTATATGATATGAGAATATTTTATAAATTGATGTGAATCACCAAACTTCAAATACTCTACAATTAAAAAAAAAGAAACAAAACAACTTATACTTATTTGTTAGCAAAATTTTACAAATTTGTTTTGCATACTTTCATAGGTAAAATAAAAAATCTAATTGTCACCATATAAACATGAATATAGCGAGGCATGCATATATATATATATATATACAGAGAGAGCTGCGGTATATATATATATATATATATATATATATATATATATATATATATATAATGTCTTTTGAGTGAATTAGCTCGGTATTTTTGATAATATGATTGAATGTTCATAATAGTCAATTAAGAGTAAAAAAGTGGATATTAAA